AATGTGTGTGCAGTGCCGTCGCACCTGAAATTTAGAGATTTTAAAAACTTTTTTCTGAATACGCTCTAAGCGTGCCTTATAAACTTCATATGAAGGCGACCATATAGGACTAGCGTACTCCAGTATGCTTCTCACATATGCAAAATATAACGTTTTCAATGCTAAAGTGCCTTTAAACGGTTGACAGGTTCTTAGAACAAATCCAAGCATACGGTAAGCTCTATCTGCTATATTATCATAATGCATATTGAGGAGCATCTTGGAGTCAAAACAAATGCCGAGATCGCGTACATCATTGACCCGCGTTAATAGTTGATTATTAAAGTTATAAGGAAAAACAATTGGACTTTTCTTGCGCGTAAAGCTTATACTCTGACATTTTTTAATATTAACGAAGATGTTGTTTTGTTGATAATAAGAAAACAGTTTATCCAAATCGTATTGTAACAATTTACAATCTTTGTAGCGGCGCTGTCGTCGTCGCCACAAGCGAAAACACACCGAAGTCTAAATCACGCTATCAACATTCCGAATCAGAAACAGTATATATAGAACATCTCCGAACTATCACATGGAGTGTTGGCCGCTCCCCGGGCAGAACACCTTGCCTGGCGGGAGATCTTCCACGGCCACAGTGGTGACCCCGACGTGATCTGAACACGCAACCAAACAACCTTCGGAAACTTCAAGCTTCATCATCGTCATACCACCACCCTACCCATTCGCTCCCGAGCAGATATCATCTGCAGTCATTCATATCCTGCAAGCCATCTAGCTTCACAAGGTTCATCGCAGCACTGGAATAATAATGCTTCCTGTTCCTTCAAGCTACTCTCTGCGCCATACAGTGTTTGGCACGGCTCTGAGCCTTACTGCTCGCCTCTGCTTCACGGCACTCTCGCAGATTACTTGCCTTCTTCTCGACTCACCGCAGACTACAAGGCAATCTCCTGGCACTTGCACATTCGTCGACAACTCGACTGCACTATCGACCTCCGGTCTGAGCAGGGGGGTGATGTAGCGGCGCTGTCGTCGTCGCCACAAGCGAAAACACACCGAAGTCTAAATCACGCTATCAACATTCGGAATCAGAAACAGTATATATAGAACATCTCCGAACTATCACAAGGAGTGTTGGCCGCTCCCCGGGCAGAACACCTTGCCCGGCGGGAGATCTCCCCTTTTCCTTCCACGGCCACAGTGGTGACCCCGACGTGATCTGAACACGCAACCAAACAACCTTCGGAAACTTCAAGCTTCATCATCGTCATACCACCACCCTACCCATTCGCTCCCGAGCAGATATCATCTGCAGTCTTCATATCCTGCAAGCCATCTAGCTTCACAAGGTTCATCGCAGCACTGGAATAATAATGCTTCCTGTTCCTTCAAGCTACTCTCTGCGCCATACAGTGTTTGGTACGGCTCTGAGCCTTACTGCTCGCCTCTGCTTCACGGCACTCTCGCAGATTACTTGCCTTCTTCTCGACTCACAGCAGACTACAAGGCAATCTCCTGGCACTTGCACATTCGTCGACAACTCGACTGCACTATCGACCTCCGGTCTGAGCAGGGGGGTGATGTAGCGGCGCTGTCGTCGCCGCCACAAGCGAAAACACACCGAAGTCTAAATCACGCTATCAACATTCCGAATCAGAAACAGTATATATAGAACATCTCCGAACTATCACAAGGAGTGTTGGCCGCTCCCCGGGCAGAACACCTTGCCCGGCGGGAGATCTCCCCTTTTCCTTCCACGGCCACAATCTTCAACAGAATTAACTGCCCGATATATTTTTTTATCATCTGCATATAATAGGTGATTAGAATAAGAAAAACAGTTGGCAATGTCAAAGATGTACGCATTGTAGAATAGCGGGCCAAGGTGCGATCCCTGAGGGACACCCGAGGGAACAGTTACATAGTCGGATCTGTATCCTCCCAGCACTACAGCTTGAGAGCGATTGGAAAGGTAGGAGCACACCCAGCGGAGTAGGTCTCCTTGAATTCCAAGCAAATAGAGCTTGCGGAGCAAGAGGTCGTGGTCTACACGATCGAAAGCTTTTTCAAAATCAGTGTAGACCACGTCCACCTGACCACCATTCTCCATATGCAGGAGGACATAACTTGAGAACAAAGACAAATTTGATACCGTAGACCGTCCTTTTATGAAGCCATGCTGTGTATCAGGAATGCCACGGATTATAAGGGGGGTAGATGAAGCTGTAAACAATTTTTTCAAAAATCTTACTGATAGTGTTCAAAATAGAAATCGGACGGTAATTTTCAATTGAGGTTTTTGGTCCTTTTTTATGTATGGGAATTATATTTGCTTTTTTCCATAAATCTGGGAAAATACATTCATCGAGAGAACGACAAAACAAAATAGTAATTGGCAATGACAAGCTATCAGCACATGAAATCAATACAATAGGGGGAATACCATCAGTTCCAGGTCCCTTAGATTTATCAAGTGATTTTAGGAATTTAAGAACTGTTTCTCTAGTAATATGTATGCGGGATAATGATTCCGTACTAGAGTACTCAAATTTCTGACGAGGCTGAGTTTGGCTACTTGATGAAGGTGTAATAAAAACACTTTGAAAAAATTTATTAAAAGCTGAGCAAATACTTGCACCCTCGTCATATGTCTGGCCTCGTAGTGTAAATTTTCTTGGATAACTGGAACAGCCCCTTTTCGAACTGACATATTTCCAAAAGTGTTTAGGATTGGACCTAATATATTGTTCAGCATTGTTTGTAAAAAAGTTAAAACAATTAAGTTGAATACGGTGTTGTCGTGCTCTTAAAAACGAAAATTCATCATAATCTCTTGGGTTACGGTATTTTTTCCAATTAAAATGAGCGCGCCATTTTTCGCGAATGATTTTTATTAGTGAAGAAGAATACCATACAGGATAAAAATGTCGGTTGTTAGAATACATGTTAATGGGTACGTAAATGGAGAAACATTCATGTAATTTACTGTAAAAAAGATCTACGGCTTCATTAATTGTGTCGGCGGCATTTAATTCTGAGCGCCAGTCAATATTTTTAAAATAATTATTCATTTTCTCATAGTCACATTTGAAAAAGTTAAAACGCGGATGTTTACGTTTTTTAAAGGGTTGTATGCTAAAATCAGGTATTTCAATATTTAATGCAGGATGATATATATCTTCCTTTATGAGAGGTAACGAAGCTCTAACAACCAATGGTAAATTGCAAAAACATAGATCCAGAATATTACCTTTTGAGTTACAATTATAATTGTATTGCTTAAGACCGAGGTAACCTAAATCATCAACGAAAGATATCGCTAAATTATGCATAAAAGATGAACCGTCTACGTGTGCAATACAATTGTTGGAGTCCCATCTCAAACACGGTAAGTTAAAATCTCCCACGAGTAAAAAATTGTCCATGGGATAATTTTCAATGCAATGCGATAAGTTATGCTTAATATCATTCAATCCACTCTGTATTACGTTCGAGTCAGGTGGAATGTACGCTATAGCTATATGTAGATCGACTGAGGACCCAAGCGTACGTGCAGGTAAAGTCACGCACACCGACTCATGCGTTGTAGGTGCACTGGACCATTGGCCGCATAGACATGCACTCAATTCGCGACGTATGCAGACTAACACTCCGCCACCGACCTTTTTCCCTGACAATAACTAATTACGATCACTTCGAAAAACATCATATCTAAGATCACATAGTTCGTTATTATAAATATCACTTTTTAACCAGGTTTCGGTCAATAAGATTATATCATAGTCTTGAGATAAGATATTGTTATATAGTTCATTACATTTCGTCCGTAAACCACGAACATTTTGGTAGTACAGGCTTAAACCCTTTTTTAGATTATTATAAACGGCTATTAAAACAAAGAACAATTAAAGTGAAAATGAATCATAAACAAACAAAAATAATGTGTTCCGAAATACTTTACTGTTTATAATGATAAGCTGTAATTTAGACTCACAATAAGACTCTAAATTTCGGTAGGTACTTGAAAATAAAGTAGTAAGGTCGGAACTTAACAATTTTATGTAGTTTTGTAGATAAACATTAGATAACACATTAGTGGTAATCCTCTTGATCAAGCAATCGTTGCATGTGTATGTATGTATTAAGTGTAATTTGTATTTATATAAAATGTTTATGTGTATATAAATAGTAACCATATATGAATTTAGAACGAAAAACAAATCTAATCGATTACTTTTCAACATCACTAATATTATAGGAATTACCATACCTTTGTTGTTTTGTAAGCATGAATCCGATATTAAATGAGGAGTTACCCACACAGATCGATAAAAGGAGCTTATGTATGTACGAGTATATATTAAGTATAAATAACAATATAGTATAAAGAATAAAGTATATAGTGTATATAAAATAATAAGTCTATAGTATACAAAATAAAGTATTTGAAAAATGTTTGTATAATATATATAAATAGTAACATTATGTGATTTTAAAAAACATTCAGCCACACTATTATAGAACAATACGAGTACACCGTTTAAGATAAACAACAATAGTCGTAACTTGAAGTAACACAGTCATTTAATTTTGTTTAAATCTAAAAAGTTTTTATGTGAATTTTTGGGGAATTATCGTCTTTCCTTATATAAATTTTACAGTTACGAACCCACACGTACTCATATTTAGGATTTGCACATTTAGCAGCGACTTTGGTTTGTTTTAGTAGCATTTTATTTGCAGGTGTGAGGTGTTCATTAACATATATATTTCGCGACTCTCCCGGGATTCCTATGTCAATTGTAGTCAAACCCTTCTTCTTACGTACAGCAGAGATGATGCTGTCTCTCAAGAGGATTGATTTTAGTTGAACCACAATATTTTTTGGTGATTTATTGTCGCTGTCACGTGATTTAACACGATGAGCATAAATTAAGTCCTCGGCAGATATAACTATTCCCGTGTATTTGCCTATTGCAATAACGTAATCGGAGACAATTTCATTCTTTTTTTTCGGGGATCTGAGAGATCTCAATATTCATGGCGCGATCACGTTGCTGCATAAAATTATATTCATTTCGCAGAGATTCATACTTTTCTTGTAATTCCGATATATTTTGCTGCAACAGATCAACCTTTTTGATCTCCGATACCACATCATCAATACGTGTTGTGAGAGTGGTTTGTTCAGCTGAATGATAATTTAACGAGTTTTTCAATTCGGAAATATCATTCATCATTTCACTATGCTCGCGAGTGATTTTCACAGTACTGATTTTTATAGATTCCAGCTGTTCCCTAATAATCGTGACGTCGTCTTTTACTCCTTTAATTTGTGACACTTCATCTTTCAAACTTTTAAATTCTTTCCTCTGTGAGTTCCCAAAATTATTGAAAAATTCCATTATTTCATTTTTTGAATTCTGTCAGCTGAGAAGACGACACGAAATCTGCATCTATTTGTTTACGTCTTCTATGTGTTATTTTATGATAATCGTTAGTAGGTAGATCGGTGTTTGATCCGCTCAAAGATTCACCACTAAAAAGGTGAGCCCGCTCTAGAACCGGGTGGTGACCGCTTCACGCTCATGTTAAGATGGTCAACGAGTATTAGCACTGTGTACGTAAAAAATATGCGTGTGCGCAGGAAGAAAAATCGCTGGTTGTCTCCTTTACTCGAGGAGGTGTGGCGAAGGGCAGCACTGGCTGCACGTCGCTTCGCAACGTTGTATTACGCGGTTATAATAGGAATTAAGTGTCAAGCTAGATTAAACTTTATGCACCACTAAATTATATTCCAAATATAAATCACGTTAAAATTAAATTTTAAAATTTTATAATTAGCTAGAACAACACACGATACGTCTACTTCTGACTGGAGCTGTCAGCGTAATGGGTTATTTTAATGTTAAGGAATTTATGGATAGTAATAACTCTTGGAAAGGGTGATCGCTACCAAACTATTTCTAATTTGATTTGTGTTGTTAATTGTAACACGCATGATTGTAAGCTCTTATTTAAAAAAATACTAGTCCCGTTGGCTTTCCTGCTGGTTATTCCCAGGACAGACGTTTTTCTTACGAACCGGTGGTAAATGAAAAAAGAGGTTTTCAATAAGTATTATTTATAATCTATATTAAATAAAAAAAGTTTCTATTTCTGTTTCGAGAGCTTACTGTGCGTAATTTTGTGATTTTGTGTTTGTCTTTTGATTTTGTGACTCGGCTTTAACTTTTAGGACTGTTTCTTCTATAATAACTTTTTTTACGTGGTAGAGCCACGCTACATATTATAGTTGTAGCACGAATGGGTCGGCTCAACCGGGGCAGGACCACGCTCTCACAGAACACCAGCGTAAAATAGCAGCGTAATGCTGCTGTGTTTCGTGTGGTGAGTGTAGAGAAACGGAGACCCTTTTTACTGGAATCGAGGCATTCCATCTTAGTCCTTGGGGATGACAACGCATTCGTATTTTGATTATTAATTGAGGATAAATATGTATGTCTATGGGACATAGCATCCACTTACCATCAGGTGGACTGTGTGCTCGTTTATCACCCAATGCTATAAAAATTATATTCGTTGAAGCATGTGCCCATGTTAAAAATGATGATTGGGCAAAAGTGGTAGAAAAAACAAAAAAATTGATTATGGATGACTTTGAAAGAGACATTAATTTTGACTGCGTTGTTGAAAATCAAATAATAATTAATATAAACAACGACATCTGTACTAGTGATTAAAAACTGTGCCTATAGAAATACGCAGTAACAACAAATACGAAGAAACTGATAAATCTTGTGTTTTAAATTATCCGTTTTTAATTTATTCTGGTATTATTCAAACCAAACTGTAAATGATTACCAACTCTAAATTATCGATATCGATTTTTTTTAAGAATCGAATATTGTACGTTTCCATATTTTGGTTGGCATGCTTGGTGCAATAAGTCTGACAGCTGTTAAAACGTACTTCTTAGATTTGGTTGACTATAACGTATAGAAGAGACACCTTGAACCAAAAGTTTGCTTCATTTTGGTAAGAGTTAGAACTAAAGTTCGCTGCAGCGCTAAAATAATAGTTATGTCGTCTAATCAAACTATTAAAACATGCAGCGCCAGTTTGCATTAGGGATTAGTTTTCTCGCGACCAAAACGTCACAAGCTCCAGGGATTTCATGGTGCTTACGCGTATCGTTCAACGTAGTGTCAGGCCTCCGTCACTCGCTCTAGACCAAACGTTATATGCCTACCGCTCTGCGTATCGTCCATGATAACGAGCGGCGAGACAAAACAGTTGCTATTTACAACTCGCTGACCAACGAGTTGTATAAATAGCAGCGTGGTGAAAGCGGAGAGTGCTAGGAGTGGTGGTGATGGGATTAGTGGGAACGAGGATACGGTCAGCCTCCGCACAGCTTACTTCATCTGAGGATCCCTCATGTAGAGGTGTCGTATTATCAAGAGTGGTATGTCGTTCCTAGTGTAGTGGTGGCGGGAGGGATGGCGAAGCGGTGGTGAAGGGGATAGTGCACGCAACTGAGGGAGAGTGGGATATGGGTGCTCTTGAGGCTGGGGAGGAAACATTACGCGGAAATGAGCAAATTAAGTTCAAACAGCTTCAATGTAATGGATTTCCGCAAAGTAACACTAGATTATTTTAATTATCTAAAAGTTTAGCATTTGGGCGTAACTATCGACCAAAAACTAACGTGGAACTCACACCTTAGCAACGTATGTCATACGGCTAAATCAGTTTTAGTACATGCAGTAGCATGGTTGAAAACAACTGGGGCTTGCGTCCCAGTATAATCCTATGGCTGTACACTAGAGGACTAGTTTGTATAGATTTAACGCTCAGGGCATTCTGTGCTTGCTTTCCTAAAAATTGACATTCATGCTCGACTCAATAAGGAAAACACGGGACTTATGCATGATCTTAGATATCATGCGTCTACTATGCACTTTCAATAAAAAATATATAACTTCTACCAGCCATCTCTTCCATCTCTGCACAGTGAGGATGACTCACTGGCCCATGCCGCAAAGGACAAATCCGATCTACTGGGCTCTCTCTTTGTATCCAACTCGACTTTTGATAACGGGGGGAATACACCGCCGACCATCCCGCAGTGTGAATGCTCCATGCAGAATATGCTGTTTATGCAACGCTCGGTACGCAGAGCACTCCTCTCCCTGTACATCAACAAGTCGAGTGGGTCGGTGGCGTTCCTCCTATTGCGCTAAAGACGTGTGCTCCGGAGTTGGCACTGGTCTTAACGCGTCTTTTCCGGTACTCCTAGTCCCTAGTCATAGTCCCGAAATCATGGAAGGCAGCATTCGGGCACCCGATACCTAAAAAAGTAACCACTCTGATTCGTCCAACTATAGGCCTATCGCTATCACCTCCTTGTTCTCTAAAATAATGGAATCTATTCTTAACAGCCAGATCAAGCGGTACCTTGAGAATCACCAGCTGATTATCAATGACATATTGCAAATCGGTACCATTCATTGCTATGCGGACGACAGCACTGGTGATGCTTTATACACCGGCTGCGCTAATATTTCTCGGAAAACCGTCGCCGGGTAATGGGACAAACTTGTGTCTGAAGTCGAGACTTTTTTGAACAAAGTCTTAGACGGGGTTTGAATAATTCTAGTCCAGTTTAATCCCCAGAAGACTCTAGTTTGTGCGTTTAAAGAGAACCCCTTTGGCGTATCTCCACAATTTCAAGGCCCTCACTTTGCTGCCACGGCAAGTATCTGAATCCTCGGGCGTCGACATATCGATATCGAGTGACGTGCAGTTTCGTGGTCACTTGGAAGAGAAGGCCAAATTGACCTCTAAAAAGCTTTGCGTGCTCAACAGAGTGGGATAGTATTTTATGCCGGTTCACCATTTGCAAATTTGCAAGGCGCAGGTTCGGCCGTAAACGGAATACTCTTCTCATCTCTGGGCTGGGGCACCCTAGTCTAAGCTCCTTCAATTTGATCGCATCCACCGCAGAGCTCTTCGAATTGTCAGCGACCTAGCTCTTCCCAATCGGCTAGACTCATTAGCACTGCGAAAAGATGTTGCACCTCTTTGTGTATTTTATCGCATCTACCACGGGGAGTACTATGAGGAATTGTTCGGACTAATTCCAGCCGCACAGTTTCACCATCTCTCATCGAGACAAAGCTCGCGATGGTATGTATTCATCTGGATGGCTGGCCGTCCACCACTGTGCGATTTAAAAGAAGTTTTCTTCCTCGCACAACTTCGTGTTAGAACCGACTACCGTCAGAGATTTTTCTAAACCGATACTACTTAGGGACCATTTAGAAAAGAGCCTACTCTTTTTTGAAAGGCCGATAACGCATCTGCAATTCACCTGTTGTTGCAGTTGTTCATGAGGGGCGGCAATCACTTACCATCAGGTGAGCCGTATTTAGAATACGATTGTGTTAATACAAATCGATTTAATATTTAAATAGAAATAAAATAATTTCAAAAAATAAAAATAAAGTAATAATGCTTCTAAAGTTTCATTAAAATGATGCTATTGTTGCGTGAATAAGTCAACTAGCGCCATCTAGTGTCAGGAACGAGAGCGGGGGGAGTTTTGCAGAAAATGACATCACAAATCTCTCAACCGACAGCGCCATCCGAAGAACTAAGTTTCTAGAAAATCTACACTCGCACACTCGACCCTTTGCGCGCATTTACCTGAATATTCCGGATGCTTCTTTGCTAATTTAAATAAATAGGCGCTGCAAGATGCGATCGAGGCAGTATTGAAGTGGCGAGACAAGCGTAGCTTCGGAGCGGAATAAAGTGAATTAGTGTGTTTAATTCTTAGTGTTTTAAGTTTTAATTTGTGTAAAGTAAATTAAAGTGTTAATTTGGGTAATTTTATCGGCAATTTTTATTGTCACAACCTCAAGCTCGTAACAATTGGTGTCAGAAGTGGGATAAAATCATGCCGATTTTACCTAAGGAGGAAACGGAGGGTGTCCGTACCCGCAGTCAAACAGACCAGACCAGGACCAGAGGCGATTTGGTGGTGCAATGCCGCAGACGTCGGAGGGCCAACTGCCAGCCACTGAGCCTGCGGGCCCGTCAGTAGCTCCTACACCTGCAGCACCTGACTTAGGTGCTCTCGCCGACAGAAGGAACAGGCTCGCCGACAGGAGGAACAGGTCCGTCGGTTGGAAGAGCAACTGCGGGGCGGCCAGGAAGAACAGATACTTCTCATGAAGGACCTTCACGCTACCTTCGGGAAAGAGATAAGGGAGGTGAAGGATAAGGTTGCTCAACATGATAAACGCCTGTCGGAAGCTGAGACCCAAATCAACCAAGTTAAGAAAACGCTGGATGAACTCAAACTTGGGAATGGAACCACAGCTCCCGTAGTAGTTTC